AGTCTACTCCAAACTGTTATAAACAGAATAGTCTACTCTAAACTGTTATAAACAGAATAGTCTACTCCAAACTGTTATAAACAGAATAGTCTTTGACAAGAGTATCATATATACTATAGAGTTAATGTAGAACTCTCTTTTTGAATGGTAGATTTTCTACATGGATTTTCGAAGAGTAAAATTTGTTTCAATATTATTTCAACATGTGAAATTGTTACTGTATAGAAACACAAGAAAACATTAGCATTTTCGTAAGCTATGACTTGTGACAAGGCACTTCAAACATATGTAATACTTACATCAGTAGCGTAACAAATGTACTCAGGTAAACACCCCCTTTCAATGCAAATCTCGCTCCTCCTAACAAACTTTTGTCCATCCTCATCCGCTTTCAAATAAAAACATGCATTTGTAATTCAAACAATAGTCAGGACTATACTCTGTCCTTATATTACATGTCTTCAATGTTATGTCATTTTTTAAAGGGATAAGAGAAATCTATTGTTTTTTATTGTAATCTATCAGTAGCCTCGACATTGAAAGTAGCTTTCACTCCAGTAAAAATTGACATATTTGGAACAGGACCAGTAATTATTGGTTCATAACAGTTCACTAGTATACGTTATATTGAAGTTAACTGTGAAACAAGAGGCCCATAGGGCCTGTATCGTTCACCTGGATATCTAAGCAATTATGGCAAAATATTTTCCAAATGAGATCCAAGGGAATATGCCCAAGGCCAATCCCTGTATCCTATCTGTATTAGATTTTTCATGACCAGCAATTTTATGTATGGCTATGGGTTGGGGATCTCAACTGTAAGCTGTGACTCAGAAACTAGGTCCCTAGCGTTGTGGCCAGAACCCAGGATCAATTCTAATATCATGACTGCATTTGTCTCTTTTTGCCCAGCATTTGTATTCAAAGTTTTGGGGTGGGGATCTCAACTGTTTCAAAGTTATGACCCGGGGGTTAAGTCTGCAAGGGTGGGGCTGACCCGGGGGTCAATTCTAATATCATGACTGCATTCGTCTCTTTTTGCCCAACAATTGTATATATAGTTTTGGGGTGAGGATCTTAACCATTTTGAAGTTATGACCCAGAGGTTGTCTCCAAGGTTGGGGCAAACCCCAAGGCCATAATGAAAGCATATGTGCATTCATCTCTTTATACTCAGCAATTGTATATATGTTTATAGGGTGGGGATCTCAACTGTTTCCAAGCTGTGACTAAGAAACTAGGTCCCTAGGGGTTGTATACGTATATGTTTGATAGGTTGACAAAATTATATTCCTAAGAACAAGCAGTGAGATAGGATGTGAAAAAGGACTGAACGAGATAAAAAACCTAGTACATGTACTGACTTTTATGTGATATTACCTAGACAACAGTATAGGAAAAATGTATTGTATGTTGATAGAGCTACATTCAATTTTCTCCACTACTTAAAACAAATCAAATATTTATATGAGTCCAACATATTTTACTCAAAAAACTAGAGCAATACCCTCATCCCCTCAAGGCAATAATAATTTATCTAATAAATGAAACGTTCAAACCTTATTGCATCTTTAGTTGCATACAGAAGAATTATTTACCTGGTAATTCATAGCCGAACGGAATGTTGTGCTCCGGTTTTCTTCCCTGAATTTAATGGAGGTTTTGCGGTACCCAATATAATATCCTATAAATAGGCCCAATAATCCAGACATAAGGAGATTCAGCCTTAATTCCTCAAAATCTGGGTGATGTCCGCCTTGAGGACTGTCAACAGAAAGAACAAATAGTAGTGTGTAGACCACTGATACACTGAAGAGCTATCTCCCTTAATTCTTTTATTGAAACCTTGGGGTCATATATATCCTTGTGTCTTCGGTTTCCTTGCCCTCAAGAAGAACTGCAATTTTGTACTCGTATCAACAGATAACTGTTGAAATTACCGAGGACTGTAAATACACATGTACAATCAACTAATGGAAACAAAAAAACACCAACTGAAAACTGCTTTTTTTTTTAAAAATACATAACATTACACAAGTTGGAATCCATTTCAACATTTAGTTCTGAGTCGCCATTGTGACACAGACTGTACAGCAGTTAATGAAGTTTTCATTTACTGTCTACTGACATAAAAATAACTGTAAAATTTAACTCTATTTAAATGGATAAATGCAGTGACTTTTCTACTTCTTTTTGACAAGGGCCTGTGCTTGCGACTTTGGGAAAATATCACACATGAAAAGCATGACTTTAGAAAACTAAACAATTTTTGCATTGATTTTGGGAAAATCCAGCAGAAGTTATAAATTATCTAGGGGAAGGGACATTTATAAAACCCTAAATTTAAAGGCCCTATAGAACCCAAATTCACCCTAAAAACAGTTAAAACCAAGAGAAGATTGGCTTCATGGGTGAAACTCCATGATTTGAATGTAGTCTTAACATCTTTAACCTTCATATCAGACCAGTCAAGCAATTCAACAAATGTCACAGAAACTTACTTTTGGTTAAAGAAATCCCTTACTCGGTCTGGCCCCGTCTCATTAGCAATGTATTCCAATACTTCTTCTTTTGATACAAGGGGGATACCTTCAGGGTTGGTTTCATCATCACTGCTCAGAACATCCTTGTTAGTTTCAGCTAAGAGGACAGGAACTCTTAAATATGACCTTAATTCCTGGTAGACAGAGTAAGACAGTGATGTGGTGTTTTTGTCTGGCGGAGGTACAACAGTTCTTGATGAAGAAGTGGCATGGTCATTCTTACAGGTGTTTAATGTTACTGAACCAGTAGGCTTTGTTGCACATCTGCTAATACAGGGAAATTTTAATAACAGTCTTGTCGACCACTTTGTAGATACAGAATATTTTGATGGACAGAACAAAAGGCATTGTTTTAACCGGAAGGTCTCTTTAGAGTTCATCTTGAATGGATCCATTGCCATGACAGCTAGTCCCACTTATAACCTGAAAGACAAATAGAATAATTCATTAATTTCAATACGAATATAACCATACACCTATTTCACAGAGTATCCTAATGGTTGGCACATGCAATGCCTTTACATTATCTATGCTCCCCTTGGAGTGGCACTCCACACCACATACCACACATGGTGTGGGAACTTGACTGTCTCTAAGCTATATGACCCAGGGATTACCAGTATATCCCCTGGGGCAGCACTAGATTCCAGGAAAATCCTGGTAGCATATGTATGTGTTTTTTGTCTCTAAATGCCCAGCAATTGTATACTAGTGTATGATTAGTTTCCGAGACACTTAGTTGCCAGAGGAGGCGGTAAACCTGGGAGGGCAGGACATTATCTTTGAAGCATGATTGTGTTAATCTGTCTAAGCCAATCAAGGAGGTCAAAAGGTCATAGGACGTGAACCTCACCCAATTCATAATTATTACCCCTTTTTGCCCCCATAACAAACATCAGGAGTGTGCATGTTTGTATCATACCCACCATTTGTACAGTTTTGAATTAAACAAGGTTGAACACTTCCATTCAATTCAGTGTTACATCAGATCATAACTAATAATCTTCTATACACTAGAACGTTTAGCACTTATAAAATACAGTTGGCATGAATACTGTGTAAACATTTGGAGCATTGACCCTCATTATAAATTACAGTACGAGTTAAGGTAAAAGTAAAATCAAGTGAACACAATTATTACTATGTCTTGCATGACACGTAGTATGAATAATAACAATAATAATAATAATAATTTTAAGGTTCTTGAAGACCGCTTTATCACAACCTAGTTCGTAGGTCGTCTGAAAGCAGTTCACAAATTATTATTCTTGGTTATAGGGCCTTTGCAACCAGCCAATATCTTTCTCAACTCCCTGGGGTGCATACAGCCGGATCTGCCATTTCGGCGCTAACAGCTAGCATTCAACAATTCTAGCACTGCCCAACCAAGTACTCATTTACAGTTGAGTAGACTGCAACAAGCAAAGTAAAGTATCTTGCTTAAGGATACAACAGAGCCGTGCTGTGACTCGAACACGCAACCCTTCGGTCACGAGCCTGGCGTCCTACCACCATTTTTTTCATTTTCTAAAGATGTATTCTATACAAAACACATCTTACAATAGAATTATAATTGATTGAGTATATGGGGAAAAAAAGAAAAACATAAATTTAAGGGATCCAACTCCACCTATCCACGTTGATCCTATACTTGACAACTGAATGTATAGCAAGCAAGGAATTGTAATATCATGCATAGTATCACAATGAAAGATGAAATCTTTACCAAGGGAAGTAAATCTAAGCCAGAAAACACCTTTTTATATTGCTTTATTTGATAATTTAGAGAAATTGTATTTTAAGAATGATTGTACCGTGCATCCTTAATAGCTAAACGCATTATGTAATATAGAGTAACCGCCCTTGCATAGCACATTTTCCGGCCATAAGCATGGTGCTGGCTAAATGTTTTCCGCAACCCTCGATCCCTAGCTTCCCTCCCTTGAGGTCTTTTTTTTTTAATTCTCCAAGTAGAATTACTATCAGCTGAATTCTTTCTGCCAAATCAAGCTGGTTACTCTTGTGTGTTGTATCTTTTTTATAATTATCATTATTTTTTTATTGTAAGGGGAAATACCCTCATTTTATTATTAAATATGTACCTTATATCATGATTTGTTTGTGATGTAATAAATTTGGCCCATTCAGTGCGCCTTTGTTCTTTAATAGTACAATCATGTTAAACCTATACTTATATACAAGAGAGACGACTCAAAAGTAAAACAAACCATGGAGCTCTCCTCCCCGATTGTAAGTTAGGAAGAGGTACGAGCCCTCTACTTTAAATAAACAAGCCATTCGGATTGATATGTCTCGCCAGTGCCCCGGTTAGACCAGCAATGCACATGTCAAGTTTGGTTGGTCTAGCACTAATAAATTCAGAGAAACTAACTTAAACGCAAAAACTTAATGTTGATCGAGATGCTGACAAAGTCAATGGACCATGAAAGGTAGGCCTCATTCAGCATTTGATGCATGGGTTGAGATGTACTACCTAAGATGCATCTAATGTTTGGTTGGTCTATCACTCATACTTTGTCTTTCAGGTAAACTAACTTAAACAAAAAAACATAATGTTGACGGCGCCATCGCCGGAAAAGCAACACATTATTTCTAGTTACTGCTACTTTGTGGCGGCAAGGCAGAAATGGTACACATTAACTCGATCAATTAAATAGCCTTTTTAATGAGGCCAATGAATGTATCCCTCCCTTGGTGAACGTGAATAATCGATTTTGTTGATGGCTTTTAAAGAAAATACATATACTGTGCGGTTTTTGTGCGTAATATATTGTATTATAGTACATCTGTACTTTCCAATGCTCGTCTCTTTGCTGATGATTGTCTCCTTTACAGACCCATCAATACAGTCATAGACTGTGAGCAACTCCAACAAGATCTTGTTAATCTCCAGAAATGGGAATCTGACTGGCAAAGGAATTTTAATGCTGATAACTGCTTTGTCATCAGAATATCTAAAAAGTGTAATCCCATCTCCTTCGACTACTCACTCCACCAGAAATCACTACAGGTAGTCCCAGTGAGCAAGTACCTGGGGGTAACTTTATCCCATGACCTGTCCTGGGGCCCACATGTTAGCAGCATTTGTGCTAAGGCACACAAAGCTCTAGGATTCCTGCGCTGCAACATGTCTGGATGCACCAGGCGGGTCAAAGCCCTCACTTACTCTGCCCTGGTAAGACCTCAACTTGAATACTCATGCTCCGCCTGGGACCCATACCGAGCAGACCATATCAACTCGAGGCTGTCCAGAGAAGAGGGGCCAGATACATCTCTAATGACTTTCACTCGAGAACTCCAGGTTATGTCACGGCAATGGTTGACTCCATCAAGTGGGACCCCCTGCAGAGTCAATGGGGGAAGGCCAGGCGTTCAACTTCTATAAGATCAGTCACGATCTCATACCTATACCAGCCGAACAGTACTTAACCAAGGCCGACTCCAGGACTCGGGGGAACCACTGCTAACGTCCAATTCAGGCATCCAAAGACTTTTTCAAGTTCTCTTACATGCCAAGGACTATAGCGGACTGGAACAGCTTACCCTCCTCTCTTGCTGATGCAGACAGCCTTGAATCATTCAGGCTGGCCTATACTCTCCACATTAAAAAATTAACCCCCCCCCCCCTAGTTTCTCACGTCTTCGACTCCACACATACAGTACACCGTCAAACACATCTTCTCTTCATTTGCCCCACTAACATAGGCTGGTCTATTTATGTATGCATATCTGTCGCCCCCGAGTTACCCAGGGGACGAAGTCAAACATGTCCTGTATTGAATTGTGTGATCACAGTCATGCCGTGAGACACAGAATACCCCCCCCCCCTCCCATTATTTAATAAATGTCTATGACTATGGGATACTGCCCAACAAGTTGAAGATAATTGGCAAGAGAGAGAGCTACGCTTGTTTAAAAACTGTATAACACAAGAGTCTAATAAATGTGAGAAAGTGCTAATTTGAAGGAATCAAGGGAATCGATAGAGGTGATATGACGTGGTAAGTTGTTCCAGTCAGAAATAGTTCTTGGAAAAAAGGAAAATTTTCTACACTGTGTTTTGCTTGCAAGACGGTATTTGGTAAGATTTTTTATGGGAATGGCGGGAGATGCGATTTGGTGGAATGGGTGGAGTTTTCCTTATAGTTATCAAGTCATTTCTAATTTTGTAGAGAGTGGCAAGCCTTTGATCTTTTCTTCTATCAGCTATAAAGAGCGCCATTCTAGAGTGTTTAGCATGTCACCAATGCTGGATATGTTCCTAAACTTGTTGGAGACATAACTGGCTACTCCAGTTGAACCATTTCAGTTTTGTTTATGTCTGATTTGGTGTGTGGGTCCCAGGTAGGACAGGCATACTCTAAGGAAGGTCTTACTAGAGATAGATATGCCGGTTGTTTGGCAGTTTTGTTTATGTCTGATTTGGTGTGTGGGTCCCAGGTAGAACAGGCATACTCTAAGGAAGGTCTTACTAGAGATAGATATGCCGGTTGTTTGGTAGTTTTGTTTATGTCTGTTTTGGTGTGTGGGTCCCTGGTAGAACAGGCATACTCTAAGGAAGGGCTTACTAGATATGCCGGTTGTTTGACAGTTTTGTTTATGTCTGATTTGGTGTGTGGGTCCCAGGTAGAACAGGCATACTCTAAGGAAGGTCTTACTAGAGATAGAGATGCCGATTGTTTGACAGTTTTGGATCCTATTTTGATGTTTCTTCTTAAAAAAACTATTGTTGAATTTGCTTTTGAACATTTATTATTAATATGCTTGATTGTAGAGTTACTCCCAGATATTTTGCTTCAGAGACATGTTGTAGTTGTCTTCCGTGAAGAACGTATGGATGATGGTTAATGCTTTATCATAATATAATTTATACTTTTGCTTATTTCATTCAATTATAACTATAATGTTTCTTTTTCCGCACAGGCGCCCAATAAGTCCAGAGACAGTAATCGCTCCAATCTTGAAGATTCGTCTCTCATAGGAAGAAGAAGAAGATATATATCATGATATCCTGATATTTGATATGCGCAGCTGCCCCTGCTATATTGCAAAAGACATCAAATATTAAATTTTGTCAATTATACAGCTCTAAAGAAGTTTGACCATATTACCTTGTATATAAGTAATATAACAGGTCCAGTACACTCTGCCGATTGAGCTATATAGCTATAAAGACCTATATAAGACCTATATAGCTATATACACCTATAACTTATAGCTGTATTGAGCTATATTTTCTCTGATTTCAATTTTCATTAAATTAAAGCAAAGTCGCATAAAACAATAAGGTTTTGGTAATAGTGACTACAAAAAGCATACAGTTAGATGTTTATTTTCATTTTTCATAAATGTAAAATTTTCGATTTTTTTACATCATTATTTTTTTAAAAAGAATACTTATATTTAATGTCTTTTGTTATCAACCTAATGATACGATCTTCTTTTAAAAGCGACTTTCTTTTGTTTTCCTTAAAAAAGTAAATCGCTTGAAAACAGCTCAAAAGACCTATTTCAGATAGGTCAATAGAGCTATTATAGGTCTTTACAGCTATATAGCTCAATCGGCAGAGTGTCCTGGACCTGTATAATGCCCCATGGTTATAATTTTAACATAGTTAGAAGTAAAACTCTAGCTGCCAAGGTTATGTCACTGTTTGTAAAATCTTATATATTACAAAATATTAAATAACTTTTCACTTAATGCTAGCCACCCTGCAATCTTAAACATTTACCTTGTCTATCGGTAAATCTTCAACTTCAATGACACCTAACCCCCACACAAGTGCATACACGTGTGTCTCATGTATACACGTGTGTCTCATACAAAAATGTGGATGGATTATGGTGGATGTCGTAAAACTGGCAGAAAGACAAACAGTTGTTTTGCTTCGCTTAAAAAATCATTATAACTTTAAAACAGTAAGAAATTATGCAACAGACAGATAAACATGAATTTTAGCTTTTTATGTTGAGTTCATTGGAATTGGTGATGTGTCATAGGTTTGCGACTTTTATCACAAACAATGCGCCCGACGCCATTTGCAAATTTGAAGACATTTAGGCTGGGTAAGAAATTGTTGCAAGGAATAATCCGATTTTAATGTCGACGAAATCTTTCGCTGTTTAGAAGAACGCTTGCATAATTTAAGGCTGTATTATTTATAACATGTGAACACATTCTGTTCTCTCTCTATGTAGTTATATTTGTTCAGATACTTCGAGTTTCTTTCTGAACCAGTTGTTCCACAGTCCGATTCTGTAATCCAATGCTGTTAATCATCGGGTGAATATTTATATTAAGTCCAGCAATGCTGTACCTCTGATCATCAGTATTGATGAAGAACTTGACCCATATGAATAATATTAAAAAAAAATAGAGGAAATTATTGTTCTAAACAGAGACGTATAATACATTATACGTCTCTGTTCTAAAGCAGTGTTCTCCCCAGGCCGTTTTAGCGTGACTATACCGTCACGCATGAATTTTGAGCCGTTATGCATCTCCATTTTATTTGACCAGTAAATAAAACAAAAATTAAATGTTTATTGTACATTTTCTCCAATTTGACTGAAATTTAATTATCATGTACATGTTCATTCCCACATAATCAGCAGGTTGGGCGCAAATGGGTAATAATGCTGCATTTGGGTCCACCTGATCAGAGGTAATAAGAATCCATAAGAAGAACTTTGAGTAGCTGTCTCTATCTTATCTTTAGAAATCAGGTAATGTGGTTTGTAGTGATACAAGTGTATAATCGATGAATCTCTTCAGTGTGTACATTATTCTTACCCTATGTTTACATTGTAGGATCAGAAATGGAGGTTTATCAAGAAAATTACAAGGACAACTACAACTACACAGGTGGAGACATATCCTTTCACCAGCAGTATGACTACAGTGCTGCTTACAAAGATGATTTCTACGATGAAGAGTATGGTTATGAGGAAGGGGAATGCGGTTCATCTTACGATAACTATGAAGAGCCAAAACAGGAGCCACCAGAGCAAAATCCTATTTTAAAAGATCATGACCGTGACCGAGACAGAGACAGGTTAGTCAGACTACGGAATAGCCATTACAGTGGAACCCACTTATTATGATACTTTGTTCTGCCGTGAATCAATTTTATAAGTTAAAAACTCAGGTAAGTTATATGTGTGAAACACCTGGACGATTGAACAATAGGACCGGTTAACTGTTCATCGCCCAAGGTGATCACCTGTCCACTCAAGGTAAATTATTCACACCTCGCTTCACCCCAGTCTGCGGAAAACAATAGATCGACCACCGCCTGCTGGTCATACATTTTAGTCTTAACAAAACATGTGGTGCAGTTAATTGCTATCTTAAGTTGAAATAATTAGGCCTACCGACATTTCTAACACAAACAGAAAACGAGCATGCGTTTCACAAATTATTCACGGTCACCCTGACACATCATGTGAGAAATGCATGCCGATTTCAATGAAAATATTACTTCATAAGGAAGACACATGTTTTTAATCATTTAAGCAATAGCTTCTCTATTGCATTAGAAGTTGATCTCCTCGTGTCCCGTTGAAAAGGTGTCAAAATCGGGACATACAGTCCTGGCAGCATGGTGCCGGAAATCAATCCCAAGTTAACGTTATGTCGTAAACAACTGACAATTTTCACCATTTTTCTTTAAATGTAATATTTGATTATTGTTAAAAAAGGAATATTTTGTGTTTTTAATTGTTATTGTTTCTTTGCAAGTTGATCTCAGCGCACGACTTGCGAGGCATGTGATAGTCATGCATGTGATCGTAATTGACGTAGCGCGGCAAAATGTTTTACGATTATGGGATAATATGTCACGCAATTTCTCATTGCAAAATAGGTAAATCATGACTATTTATATCACTTCTTTCATCCTTTTGACTGTAACATTACGATATCGTTAGCTACAAGTGCAAGATGTAGTATAAAGATAGTTCTTAGGAATATATGCTCTAAGTTATTTGAAAGTGAAAGTAGAACATTTTGACGGGAGAGCGAAATCTTCTCGAATTTTTCCAACATGCTGATATAAATTACAATGAACAAATTATTTCAATTATTAATTTATCTTTTTGTATTTATATTTTTCCATGTTTCCACATCAATCTATGTCTTGATTAATATAGGGCATCTTACAAGGGAGAGACGCCCGACTTCAAAGCCTTTCAATTTTTACTGTTACTTGGCCGCAAGATTCTTTTGATGTGTATAAAATGATCGAACTAGTCTTGTCTCATCAACAAGGTGTTCAACACTGAGCCTTCAATTTTTCTATGACATATTCCGGGGGTGCAGAGAGCGGAAGTGAGCGTAACCCCCGGATATCGAGGATTGGTTATGATTAGATATGTGTTACGTTTAACAATCATAATTAACAAAGAGGAAATAAGGAAATTATTACGGTTCTTGGTTTATTTCAGATCTCGTCGAAGGCACAGAGGAGATAGACATAGAGACAGAAGACACGATAATGATAAGGAAAGGAGTAGAAACCGAGATAGGGATAGAGATCGTGATCGCATGAGGGATGGCGACCATGACAGGAGGAGAGATCGCGACCGACGTGATCGGGACAGAGACAGGAGCTCACATAGAAGTGGCAGCGAACATGAAGACAGATTGGACGATAATAATGATAAGGTATAGTAACTGTAAAATCTTGAAGATTATTGTGATCCTAAATGATCATAGTTAATGATGGGCAGTTAAACATGTATATGTTGAAATTTAAGTTAACAAATTTTAAATTTGTATTAACCAATGTCATGATTGTACTTATGTATTAAATTGTATTAATAGAGCATGCTAAAAGTAAAGATGTCGATGTAAATCATGTTATGTGTATTTATAAACTAGATATTTGTATCACAATAATTAGACCTCAAAAATCACCCATGACCTGAGAAAATCATAAAAATAAATTACTGATATGAATACATCCTGCTTTTAATAAAATTACATTGTAATAAATGTTCACAGGATGGGCCTATGGATAGAAGAGATGGGTATGATAAGCGAGAGTCCAGAGAAAGAGGAGACCGGGCAGACCGTGAAGATCGAGGTGGCGAGAAGTGGATGACAGACACGCCCACTAACACCATCCTACTGAGGGGACTACCAATTATCATAGAGGAGAAAGATGTAGGTCTACAATTTTCTTTTTATCACATACCTGTTTATGTTTTGTTAGAATTCACGGGGATGAGAATTAGACCAGTCATATTACATGGGGTTTGTATATGTATGCACATTACCTTCTGATAAATTGTATCCCTTCATGTGTCTGAACAAATCTGGTGTTGACTCATATCAGTCCCCATGGGGTTTCATTTTAATGGGGTAACTATCTATATGAAAATCAGTATGATGGATAATTAGGGCCCCGTAACGGAGATAAGGGTGCCCTATAGTAATCTGTCTGTCTGTTCGTCCACAAATTTTGTTCCTGGCTGATAACTTAGTATTTATTGACCAATGTACATGAAACTTGGTCAAGATGTTCAGTTCACAAAAATACACATTGAGGTAAAAAGTCAATGTCAAAGGTTAAGGTCATTAGGTTCAAAGGTCAAGGTCAAATTTTACATCTTTTCACTGATGATCATTTTGTTATGACATTATGAAGCAAAGTTGATCAGAATTAAACAAGGAGTCAACTGACCAAAGGTTAAGGTCATCGGGTCAGGGGTCAAGGTCAAATTTTGTAGCTTTTCACTGGTGAACATTTCGCTATGACACTTTGAAGCAATGTTACTCAGAATTAAACAAGGAGTCAAGGTTAAATTTTGTACCTTTTCCCTGATGAATATTTTGTTGTGACATTATGAAGCAATGTTGTTCAGAACTTTACACAGATTCAACTGACCTTAGGTCCAGGTTACGGGGTCCAAAGGGTCAAGGCCAAGTTTTGTATTTTTTACTGATTAACATTTTGTTATGATATTAAGAAGCAAAGTTGGTAGGCATTAAAGAATAAGTCAACTGACCAAAGATCAGGGTCACTGGGTTAATGGTCAAGGTCATTTGGGTCTAAAGGTCAAAGACAAAGTGGATCTCGGCCTTTGACCCTGGCTCTTGATGGAGGAGGTATATAAGGTGAAATAAAACAAATCAAAGCTAACAAATGAGTATTGTACCGATATTTACATTTCTGTTAGCCCAGCAAATATGGAGGTAGAAGGAGACAAGACTCACATCATAGTACATGTAAAATGTATATTTTGGTTCCTTGCGATTCTTTTTGAAGTCCAAATGTCAAACGTCAAGCTCAGCTATATGGGCAGATTGCTTCTTGATGATTATGGGGGATATATTGCCACAAGACGGGGCCCTTACTGACCTGTCAGTGTTCTAGATTATTTATTGTCTGATTGATAAAATTAACTATTCCTCAAGTTCATATTAAGTTCGGTAATCAAAAGATGGACACAAAGTAAATGTATTTTGCCATAAGATTATCATGTGTTCAATTTTTAACAGTATTGTGCTTTATAATACATGTAGAACTTAATTGTCTATGTTTATACAAATTTAATCTGGTGAAACAAGCTAACAATTCCGTATTTTACAGATCCGAGCTGAGTTGATGTTATTTGGACTTCCAATCAAAGATGTGCGGCTCATGAGGAAAAGTACAGGTGAGGATTGTGTTTGGTGCGCCTTTGTTAGCACTGGTGTTGACCACTGATACTGTTGATTACAATTTTTGAGTAGGGACACTGTAATGTAGGAGGTGGCTCAGTTTTCACTACATCACTGAAGGTTGTGGGTTACCTTCAACTTATATTGCTATTAAAAAACCTTAGAAACAAATGAACATGTTATGATCTGGTAAATGGACAACACTAGAAGAAGAACAGGAACCCTTACTAGGGGATCAGAACAGGTCACGGCTAACTACAGGTAAGATGGGTTGAATAAACAGTGGGAAGTGAAACTGTATAAGGCAAAGTTGTATTCCGTCTTTGCGTATTGCAGAGTTATCTTCTCTTGGGAGCAGGTATTGATTGTTACGTCATTGGTTCGTGTGAGTAACGTCATCAATTTTTGAGAAGACGACGCAATTTTCTCGCACAAACCAATGACGTAACAATCAATACCTGCTCCCAAGAGAAGATAACTCTGCAATACGCAAAGACGGAATATGTTGACCTTGTTTCTTTTTTGCAGAAGATACTTAACTAAATATAATTTGTCCATTTATGCATTTTAAAAAATGGTATTAAAACAGTAACTAAGTGTTCAAAATATGTGTAAATCATGTAATCATGTAAATTTAGGATGACAATTTTAGATGACAATTACTATTTTTTTCATGAAAAATAGGGGTACTTTGATTGTTATTTGCATGTAAAGATTATAATAGTGAAAAGGAAAGTCATGTGGTTGATTGTGATTGAAAAGGTTACAATGGTTACTCCAATGAGTCACTTATTCATTGTAAAATTGCAATTAAATATGTGTTTTATTTCAGTTTTTAATTGAACAACCCACCTACTTTTCGTGTGTTATAAATGTTTCCTTACTGTATGGTTCTGTTTCAGGTTATTATTAATTAAATAGAGTTTGTTCAAAATGTTTTTTTCCTGTTAAATGAAGGAGCTCAGAAAACCTTCAGTGATGATATGATTGTGTTAAAAGTCGAAACTGTGCCACCATGTGTATTCTAGCTGTATATTGTCATCTAATGCCAAACGTTCAAATTATTGCACAGGTGCATCCCGCGGGTTTGCTTTTGTGGAGTTTCAGAGTATAGGAGACGCACAACGATGGATGGACCAGAATCAGGTCTATGGAAGCTTTCAGTTTTATCGTAAAGTAACAACCAAAACCTGTTAATCACCACTAGAGGTGCAGCATTCTCCTTAGTGGGAAGTCGCCACTGATGTAGTATCGGGTCACAGACATTGACATTTTCATCCCTGATGAACCCTCTTGATGAGATATCAATTATAATTTGGTAGAATCAACTTGGGGATCATTGGGATGAAAAAGTTTGCGCTTCATTAAAGTAATGCAATGTAGCTGATTCTCAGTTCAAATTACTTCATTTGAACTAAATAGGATGTTATAATCTAATTGAAATACAAAAAAAAAAAATCTATACATTTTCTGACAGTTTTATTGATAGGAAAAAGAGGTTATATTTCCTGTTATTCAAAGACAAAGTAATTTCTATTTCAATATTGTATTTTATTGGTAGTAATTAAATGATTTTTTATATCTATTTATAACTAAAAGTGACTAAGACTTTAACTTGAAGTGGTTTCAATCATCAATGTTGTTTGCATATTTCTGGTTGTTTTCAAGTATAATTATTTTAAAAATTAAAAGTGAACATTAATAATGCCAAGCTTGCATTCATAGATGCTAACAAATTATTCTCAAAGATGAAAATGCAGAATATTAACATGCAGTAAAAAAAAAGTGAATGCATGTGTGTCATGAAATGTTGAAGTTTAAATGATGAAAATTAGGTTTTGGCGAATGAGAGGTATGAACATTGTTGCACAACTATGTGCCGGTTTATCTGATTAAAAAAATAAATCATTTTAATTAGAAAATTAGATACATAGTTCCTAGAGGAAGATGGCCGAAGAGGCTGGATTAAAATAACTTACAATATGATGTATGCCTTGAGAGAACATAGTCATGGCTTCAGCCATAAGTATCGTATTTATCATGACTGGACAGGCAGGAAATGGGTTCAGTGGCCACAGGTAATTTGACACGCCCATCACAGACTTGTAACATTGTTCCTCATCCTCTACAGGGCCAGCTGACTCTACAGAACCAGTACAACGCGACCATGCATTACAGCACACCCAAAGCAGGGCCTGAAAAGGGACCCATTCACAAGACTGACTGGACATGTAGCAAGGTAATGGATTCTGTTGTGGACTGACATCCAGTGGTGTCGATGACATTTGATCTGTTATGTTGGGGAGTAGTTAGTTTTTCTATGGCATGATAAAGATGGAATGATATTTTGCAGATAAGATTTTACATATTTTGTGTTTGCTCTATTGGTTCAATTGCTATTTACTGGTGGCACATACTTTCGACTGAATTACAGATAGTCTTATTTCGTGCAGTGTCAAAAGTGGATGTGAAAATTGAAAGCAAACATAGTCATTAATTTACAGACTTTTTCATCAAAAAATTGGGGACACAAAACCAGAAGGAAAACAGGTATTTGATGAAGAAAAGTTACAGCACTGAACTTAAATTGCAAATTTGCAATACTCAACATGGATAGTAGTGTGCAACACAAATGAAGTAGATTGTAAAACTGATTTCAGAAAATGGATATGGCACCAATGTCTCTGTTGACACCTCGAAATAATACCTTAGAATCATTGAAATAAGTACTGGTTATATTCTGTAGACACCTCAAAATGATAACATAGAATCATTTAAAATGGATACTGGTTTTGGGTTGGATACAACATAAGGGCAAAAAAGATTTAGAAATTTGTGTCATTATTTGCATACATCTCTAACTTTATAGTGCGGCGTCCATAATTTCAAGAGAAGGGACCACTGTTTCAAGTGCAATCTTTCACGTGAAGGTACAGTATGCGATCTACAATCACAACGGATGACGCCTCGTAAAAGATTTGTAGATAGAACGTTTGAATCAACTTGAGGACCCCATGACTTTGGTTTAAACATATTTTTATTGTCTTGAAAATGACAGAAAGGATTAGGCACAAGTTCTTACAACTTAATTAAGCCCTCTCCTAACTTGAATACATTTTACGTACATCATAGCTGTCTTAACATGTACATTTAAAAAAAAAAAAAATGAATTAACAAAATAGGTTGTTGACGGTTGTTTCTCTGTACCCCAACCTACTCATAGAGAATTAACCGAGGTTTTCACACAGACTAAGAAAAATTGTTCTTCGAACATGATGTAATTGTTGTAATTAGGACTACTAGAAACGGTTTGTATCCTAAATGTACTTGCATACATAGGTAAAAGTTTTACTGTTTTGTTCAAAAGTGAGATCTTGATTACTCCAGAGAAGTGTGTTTAATGACTTCGTAAACGACATTAATGAATCTAGTTTTGAGTTGACATACTGACTAGTTTATAAGAAGCGGATATAACTCTCTTCTTCATTTCCATCATCTGTCCTAATTAGAGTAAAATGTACTACTAGTCTGATTGTTAATATACGTACTAAACTCTTGTCCATTGTAATATGTTGTTATATATTAGATATGTTGATATATATTAGTCTTCCCTCCCCTCACACCCACCCATCATTGGAAAAAAATATCCAAAACCCTTTTTTGTTGTTAAAGAGAAAAAAACGATACGGTAAATTTCTAAGGTATGGGAGAAAAAGTTAACTAAAATCTGTATTTGCACATGATATCTGTCAATACTTTTAGCGTTTATATTGTGTTGTTGAAGTGATGGTGTTTGATGATTTAACTAAGATGAGAAGAAAACAGATTTAGAATATTTTAATGTGTTTTATACATGTGCCAGTATACGTTTCTTACATTTGTTGTAAGATAGCCTTGAAAGTGACAGAATTATGAAAAGTTCCTAGTAGACTTGTTGGACTATCACTTCAATGATGATAATACATTTTTCATGGTAAACAAGATGCATTCAAAATATGACAGAATTACATGTATGTGAACAATCTTTATAGTGCATGACCTTTGTTTATAACCATTTGCTGGGTTGTATCTCAGCTTGGCATCAGGAATTGTTTATCACATCTTGGTGATATGGACATTTTGGATGGCATCAGCTAAAAGAGAAAAAGTTACCAGTGGTTGATCCAGGGAGGAATTATCTGAATTCGTGAAAAGATAAAATCTCTTGAGGATAACTTCTGCCAACAAACCCCTGGATCTACCACTGTGTACTGTAGGCAGTCCGTCACCTGGACTTGGGTATCTATCACATAGGTGTCTGGTGTTTCAGTAGACATGTTTGTGTTTTTCAGAGTCGGACAGAAAACAAGAAGGAGACGGTTTTGACCAGGTTGGCACAAATCCTTGCAATAGTAAGTAGAGCCTGTTTTGTTTTTTTGCATAAAAGTCCAAAGTAAGTTTCAACAAATCAATGGGATAATAGAATTTAGTAACATACATCTTGGGAGTTTTCAGTATTTCAGAGTGTTAACATCTTGGAGTTTTCAGTATTTCAGAGTGTTAGGGAATGATTACAAGATAAAATAAAACTTTTGTATAAGATTGTTTTAAAGCGTATGGTTAAGGCAATTCTCTAATAATGACTGCTTTCACACATAAGTAATGACAAAAATTGAAATGTTCTTTGGTAAATGTTACAGCCCTGGTCTTGCGTGGACTGGATGCTCTGACAACGGAGGATAATCTTATCCAGGCCCTTGGCCAGGTCACATCGTCGGTTATAAAGAATTGTCAGGTGCTCCGGGATGAGCTGACGAACACATCGAGGGGCTACGGCTTTCTGGAGCTGGAGTCCGTCATGGAATCGCAGCAACTCCTCGACACTCTCACACAACTACACCCCCCATTCGAGGTCGATGGAAAACAGATCCTGGTCAGCTTTGCCAAGAATACATTTTCTACTGTGTAAGTTAATAGTTTCATCTTGTCATTTGAATTCAAATATGTCTTGAATACCCAGAATTTGATCAGATTGATAATAAATCTTAATGTTTACACAGACATTTTATGTACCTATCTTTATTTCAGAATGGCAACATTGAAGGCAACTTCTCCTGCAGATCAGGTAAGTGTTGTCAGTATTAGGTACATGCTTATGTTGCATCATTATTAGAAAATTTATAATAATCTGTTTTGTGGAATATAACATTTTACTGAATGACATAACAAAGTCCGACGTTTTTGTGGAATACAAGTGTTACTGGTTCAGTTGTTAATTCGTTAGTCAATACTATATAAAGTTTTAAAATGATACTTTGAGGTCAATGCATTTTGAACTATATATATTGTAATCTAAGGACACAGGAAGTTGAAATATGACAATTTTGTATTCTATTATAGTCAAACTGGGACTATAGTCAGCAAACGGCAGGTGCTCAGCAGCCAGGTAGCGCAGCGGGGGCAAACCCAGCCGGATTCTATGATGGTCAGTACTTTCAAGGCACAGAGTATGATGCAGCTACATATGCCCAGTACTACGGAGAACAGGGCTATGACTATGCTCAGTACTATGGTCAAGGCTACTCACAGGAGCAAGCTGCTTCTGCCACAGCCTCTGCAAGTACTAACCCTACACAGAGTGAGTGAAGTGTTCACATGTTTTTATCATGAAAAATGATTACCCAGATGCCACCTTAACTTTTTCACCACTGTAGACCATAATGGACTCCACCAAATCAGTGCATGGTCGAGTTAGGCAATATAATTTCTAAGTGTAAATAGTAGAATAAAATTATATAGGAAAATATATGAGTGAAAAATGTCATTTATGTATAGACCATACTGTCTTCAGATGTCAGTAAATACAGGATGTCAGAAGATGTCACCATTAGTATATATGTAACAGAATGTCATCTAGATTTCTGTAGTGGTTTGTTCCTCATTTTATGTTTCCTGTTTTCTAGCGGACACCACCAATGCGGCAGCAGCTGTAGCACAGGCTGCCATCCAGCAACGTAACGCTGTCAAACAGTACCAAAAACAGGTAGGTTTGGAGGCATTGGCTAGTAGTTCACAAAATGTTATAAAAAACAGGTAGGTTTGGAGGCATTGGCTAGTAGTTTACAAAATGTTATAAAAAACAGGCTTGGCATGTTATCCTATGATATTCCTCCAGACAGACTTCATTAAGTATGTAATAGGCTGAAATAGCTGAAAATTGTAATTTCTTCATGTCAAGAGATTTTTACTGCTGTCCTTCAATCATAGGAAACTGATTAAAATGACATGGTTTCAAAGTATGACACGGTGATTGCATTATTTTATAACACATGACGACAGGCGTAAACTGTAACTATGCGTAATATTGTGTTACTTTGCACACCAGGTACGTGAACAGCAAAAGCTAGCAGACATGACACCAGAGGAGCGGCTAGCCTGTCAAGCTGAGGAGTGGTCAAAGAAGAAGCCAGGAAAACCTGGACAGCCCCAGCCAACAGCACCAGTAGCTCCGACACCTCCTGTTCCTCAAGTCCAGTCTGAGTATACAGTTTACCCGGCCCCAGACGTGTCCACATACTCTTATGAGGAGTCCTCGGGCTACTACTATGATTCCGTCACTGGCCTCTACTATGATGCTAACTCTCAGGTATGCACCATCATTGTTTAACTTAGTAATCATCCTGTGAGGATTAATAACTCTTAATCATTCTACTGTTTGCGATTCTTGTTTAAAATATTTAGTAAATATTTTTTCGTATCAAATAACCTTGTGAGGTCGAAATTTTGTAACCAGTGATGTTTTAACAATTGTTTTTGTGTTACAGTACTTCTACAACTCTCAGACTGCACAGTTCCTGTACTGGGACTCTGAGAAGTCCACCTACCTCCCAGCCCCTACAGGGGACGACAACTCATCAAAGGAGGAGGGCTCTGAGAAGGGAGGCAAGAAGGACAAGGAGAAGAAAGAGAAGGTCAAGATCGCAAAGAGGATTGCTAAGGTGTGTATGACAGGTTGTTCTCGAGAGAAGATGGTGAATATTTCATTGCAAATTACTAAGGTCATACAAATAACTTGAAAGATGGGTGTTTAGTCTTCATATACATTTAACGTGATTTTTTCTATGAACATTTTGCGTTGCTGTCATTTTGTAATGATTTACTGTTATAATCCAATTAAAGATATTAAAAGAGCTATGTGTTCTTTAATAGAAAGCTGTACTGTTTAAATTTATTTGTGCAAAATCATTTCTTATTTCAGGATATGGAAAAATGGGCAAAGACATTGAATGCTCAAAAGGAGGCAATAAAGGGCTTCAGTTTTAAGACTTCAATAGGGAACTCTAGATTTGAAAAGGAATCTGCAACAGCAGATGCTGGATTTGCCATTTTGGAGAAAAGTGTAAGTGAACGTTTTGTTTTAGTTGTCTAACATGTACAGTGGATGTCAAATATTTTACAACACCTGTAATCATTATTGAGAGATTGACTCATGAAAGTTTCTCGTACTAATCATCACTGATGATTTAAACACTTCATATGGTCTTCATACACCAATAGGCAATTTGAAAGCAGTGTACGTGATCAGTTTCTAGCTGCTATTGCTAAGCCGCTCTAATCTATAAAATATGTTACCTGTCCTGACTGAGAAATATATAAAATATGTTACCTGTCCTGACTATGAGAAATATATAAAATATGTTACTTGTCCCGACTATGAGAAATCTATAAAATATGTTACCTGTCCCGACTATGAGAAATATACTAAATATGTAACTGTCCTGACTATGAGAAATATATAAAATATGTTACCTGTCCCGACTATGAGAAATATATAAAATATGTTACCTGTCCCGACTATGAGAAATATATAAAATATGTTACCTGCCCCGACTATGAGAAATATATAAAATATGTTACCTGTCCCGACTATGAGAATTATATAAAATATGTTACCTGCCCTGACTATGAGAAATATATAAAATATGTTACCTGTCCTGACGATGAGAAATATACTAAATATGTTACCTGTCCTGACTATGAGAAATATATAAAATATGTTACCTGTCCTGACTATGAGAAATATATAAAATATGTTACCTGTCCTGACTATGAGAAATATATAAAATATGTTACCTGTCCTGACTATGAGAAATATATAAAATATGTTACCTGTCCCGACTATGAGAAATATATAAAATATGTTACCTGTCCCGACTATGAGAAATATATAAAATATGTTACCTGTCCCGACTATGAGAATTATATAAAATATGTTACCTGTCCCGACTATGAGAAATATATAAAATATGTTACCTGTCCCGACTATGAGAATTATATAAAATATGTTACCTGCCCTGACTATGAGAAATATATAAAATATGTTACCTGTCCTGACGATGAGAAATATACTAAATATGTTACCTGTCCTGACTATGAGAAATATATAAAATATGTTACCTGTCCTGACTATGAGAAATATACTAAATATGTTACCTGTCCTGACTATGAGAAATATATAAAATATGTTACCTGTCCTTCTCCTGACTATGAGAAATATATAAAATGTGTTACCTGTCCTGATGATGAGAAATATACTAAACATGTTACCTGTCCTGACTTTGAGAAATATACTAAATATGTTACCTGTCCCGACTATGAAAAATATATAAAATATGTTACCTGTCCTGATGATGAGAAATATATAAAATATGTTACATGTCCTGACTATGAGAAATATATAAAATATGTTACCTGTCCTGATGATGAGAAATATACTAAATATGTTACCTGTCCTGATGATGAGAAATATATAAAATATGTTATAATTACCTGTCCTGATGATGAGAAATATATAAAATATGTTACCTGTCCTGATGATGAGAAACAGAGCTGCCAACTCTTACGATTTAGGCATAATTATTACGATTTTGAGGTCTGAATTACGCTAGTACGATTTTACAAGTAAAATTACGATTTTTAAAAAAAAATCGGAATTTTTCCGTTTTTTTGTTAGTTTCGCCGTAATCCGGTCCCGATGTCCGTTTTCAGTATTATAATCGCAAATCAGATACACACGTGCGTTTGTATCGATTCTCGAGATAGGCTGGAGTTAATTCAATGTGAAAAGGACGTTTGTAGATGAAGTAAAATGGCGGAAAAACGTGTCAAACTGGACGGGAAAGAAGACGTTTCTCCTAGGAAAAAAAGGAAATTAATTTATTAATTTTTGAAAAGGGCTTAAAGTGCGACTAACAAGGCACTAGAAAAACAATAAAAGGTAATGAATACATGTTTGTAAAAAAGCGATCGCAGATTACTATTTCTTAATCTCTAAGGTTGGCAGCTCTGGAGAAATATACTAAATATGTTACCTGTCCTGATGATGAGAAATATATAAAATATGTTACCTGTCCTGATGATGAGAAATATATAAAATATGTTACCTGTCCTGA